TAAAATTAATAATAAGATAAATAAATTAATAATAGAAAATACTTATATGGTAGTACCTCTGGAAGATGCTTATTCATAAATAAATAAAGAAATAAATGATTATAAATGAAATATATAAATATAATAATATGCTAACTAAATTAGTAAAACAAGAGAAAAGAGAAATTCTACCAAGAAACTATCTATAACTAAAATAACTCAAAATAATTAGATGACTTTTCTTGGCATGATCAGGTGATTGTGATGCAGTAAGTCACATATGATGCAATAACAATCTGTGAGATAAAAGATAAATATAATATAATTATTAATAACTAATCTAATTTTGTTACATAAATTATCTTATTAAGAAGATAATTAGTCATATTTATTTTTTTTAAGTTATAAAAGTAAATAATTATTATAAATATAATTACTATTATTATTTTAAAATAATTATAATATAAAGACTCTACTATATTATTTAAAGAAGTTATTAATAAGCTAATAAAAAAGTTATTGTAATATACTAATTATTAAATATTAAAGTGAGTTTGAGATAAATAATATAATTGATATAAGAGATTAAAAAAGATATATATAAATATACTTTATAATAAATCTGAATTAAATATTATATTAGAATTTATACAATCTAAAGTAAATTATTATTATAATTTTTATATTACTTTCTTTTTATTCAGTTAAAGCTTGAAGTATTAATTAAGAATAACAATTAGTATTTGTCTAAACAAATAAGAAATTTTAAATTTTATATATATTTTAATTCATATTTAACTAAATAAATATATTTTAATAATTATAAAAAAATTTTTGTTAATTAAAAGAAATACTATTATTTATATTATATTATGAAATAGCTTTTTCTAATTTTCTTTTACATATTTGTAATATACTAATCTCTTGAGATAAAATTTTATAAATAGTTATTATTTAAATATATCTAATAAATTACTTTTATAGTAAGAATTTGTAAACTAAAGAATAATCTAGCAAAAATAAGTAAAATAGATACTAATTTTGAAGATATTTTACTTTATAAGAAGATATTAATTTTTCATAATCTTTGTATTATTCTATTTATAGTAATCTTAATAATAATTTTATTTTAGAGAACTTTATATATTTTGACTAAGACTTTGAATAAAAAATTTATATATATAATTAATTAATTTTTTAAATTGATTAATATAATATACTTAATTTTTATATGTAATAAATCATATAACTAATAGAAGAAAATTTACTTTACAGATCTGTATAATAAATTATATAACTTATATAATAAAAGAAAATAAATCATATTTTTATTATGATTACATAATTTTTATCTACTTTATATAATTTTTAAGATTTATAACTACTAATAATTTTTATGAAATTATAATATATAATTTTTAAGTTATTTTAAAATTTTATTTATCAATTTATAATTTAATTAGTTAATAATTTTTATATAATATATAATCTCATATAATATTTGATAATATTATCATAATTATATTTTATCATTATCATTTCTTTTATTTTTAATTTTTTTTCTAATAACTCTTCTTTTTTTTGATAAAATAGATAGTAAATAATTTTATTATATTTATAGAGAGAATATCAAAAATTTATTATTATTTTTGATATTTCTTAAAAAGATTATTTCATAATAAGTTAATAATTTTATATATAATATTAATTACAAATAGAAGAGATTAATATAATTAAAAATATAATATAATAAATATTAGATTATGATTATAATAAAATTAAAGAGAGGTAACAAGAATATGTTCATAATATAATTAGTTAGAATATATTCTGGAATTATAATATAAGAAATATATTATAATAAATAAAATATTATTAATAATTTATAATATTATTATATTTAAATTATTATTTTATCTTATTATTATTTAATTTATTGATTTATTAATTATTAATTCATTATTTATTAATTTATTTTATTAATTAATTTCTTAATTAATTATTTATTTTTTTAAGATATATTATTTTTATATATTTTAAAGATTTTATAAATAATACTTTTGTTATGATCTAAATACTACTTTTACTATATTATAATATTAGTTTTATTATAATAATATTGCTAATTTTGCTACAATAGTTTTACTAACTTTACTATGATAATTTTATTATGAATATTATACTTGTAAAACTATCTAAAAAATATTTATCAATAATATTATCTTAATTATTGTCTAATAAAATATAAATAAATAATTTTTTAATAAAAATATAAGTATAAATAACTAATATTAATAAATTATATATAAAAAAATTTATATTATAATAATAATTATATTTTTATTAGATAATTATTTAGTTATATTTTATTAAATAATAATTAAGATAATATTATTAATAGATATTTCTAGATAATTTTCTAAGTATAATAATTATAATGAAATTATCATAGTAAAGTTAGCAAAACTATTATAGTAAAATTAGTAATATTATCATAATAAAATTGATATTATAATACTAGTAAAAGTAATATTTTGATCATAATAAAAGTATTATTTGTAAAATTTCTAAAATATCTAAAATATATAAAAGTAATATATCTTAAAAAAAGAAAAGAAATTAATAAATAAAATAAATTAATAAATAATAAATAAATAATTAATAAATAAATTAATAAATTAAATAATATTAAGATGAAATAATAATTTAAATATAATAATATTATAAATTAATAATTTTTATTAATAATATCTTATTTATTATTCCAAGTCATATTCTAGCTAATCATATTATAAATATACTCTTGTTACTTATTTTTAATCTCATTATAATCATAATCTAATACTTAATATATTATATTTTTAATTATATTAATCTCTCTTATCCAAATTAATAACATTTTTATTATATCTTATCTTAATCAAATATTATATATAAAATTATTAACTTATCATAAAATAATCTTTTTAAGAAATATTAAAAATGGTAATAATATATTTATCTATTAAAATTCTATATATTATATACTTTAGTAATTTAAAAAAATCAAATAATAACAGATAGTTTTGTTATTAAATATTAAAATTTTAAAAATATTTATTTAATAGATACTAAATATAATATATTAAAAATAAGTATTATATATATATATATATTATAAAAATATATAATTAATATTTATATATTATTTATTTTAAAATATAATTAAAATTTTCTAATTAATAAATAATATAATTAAATTATTATTTAACTTATCTTATTTAATATTTAATAATATATATATAATAATAAATTTATATATGTATCTTAATTAAAATAATATTAATATAATTAATAATTAAGTCATAGTTATATATATAATAAAAGAAAAACTTGAAATTTATTAACTTTTGCTTTATAAATTATTTATAATTATCATTTTTCTTAATTTATATATTAAATTTTTAATATTTATTTAAGATAAGTAATTATATACAAGATTTATTTTATAAAATATATATGATAAATATAATTTAAAGAATATATAAGTATTATTATTCAGATTAATCTTAATTTATAATATATTTTATATTCTTATTTAAAAATACTGTATTAGAATAATTAATATAATATCTATAAGATTAAATAATATTTTTAACTTAAATTAAAAATTAATTATATTAATTTTCTTAACTAATAAAAGTTTTATTTTAATAATTATTTAATACTTGTATATATAATCTAGAATTATCTCACAATTCTAATATCTAGTATTTTTTTAAAGTTAATTTTTAATATAGTAAAGTATATAATTATTATAATTCAAAATAGAATTAAAAATAAAATAACTTGTATTTCACTTTATTTTAAGAATTGAATTATTAAATAAATTTTTTTAATATATAAGTATTTGATTAATATAAAGATAATAATAATGATGATTAAGATTATAATTTTTTTAATAATAAAAATATATGTGACTAGTATAATTACTTAGGATTTGATTATTATAATAATTATATTATTTTTTGTAATGATAAGAATAATTAATCTGATTATTATAATAATTGCAATTATAATCATAGTTTAGTTGATATAATAAAAGAATTAAATAAAATAAGTAATAAGCATAATTATTATTATATAGCAAATTTTATATGATTTTATTTAATTTTTTATAATATATTACTCTCCTAATAAATATATTATATATTAATAATTAATTAGTATTTTGACTTTAATTGACTAAAATTTATAAGTATTCTTACTAGAAATATATTTAACTAATAAATCAAATTTATATATAAATATAATATAAATTTTATATTATAAAATTAATCAATATATAAGTAATATAATAAAAGTATATAAAAAAATATATCTATGAGTTCTATTTTGATAAATAAACCAGTCATACTCACAATATTATTGTACTAGACTGTCTATACAACTTAAGAACCTAGTTACTATATATTTGGATCATCCGAGCTATAAATTAGATCCTGGACCGGTCCCATTTTAGATCCCGGATCAGGTCCTAGTAACCGATCCTTGGATCTTGGTCCGGTCCGGTCCTGCCTAGGATGGGCGGTTCTTGAACCGGATCGGACCGGATGGACCGTTTAAGTGGTCACATTACACGTAATAATAATCGTATGTAAAAATAAAAACTTGAAGCATTGTTAATTGCGTCCAGTGATGATATATAAAATGCTTTATATCTTTAATGCTTATTATTTATTATTAAATAAAAGTAAATTACATAAAATATATTCATCTACACTCATAAGTTGCAATAAAATGAAATAGATTCTCGCCATTCATCGAATACGATAAAACCCACTGTCCAGTCAAACTAAGCATAACCTCCACACAAAGTCTAACCGATTTGTCTTTTTTATTGATCTGACCACACGCTTCTAATGTTCGCTTTTTCTTAAAGTCGGAACTGTGCACAGAAATCGTAGGTAAATCACGTAAGCGTTCTTGATTGAATAGAATGACCTCGAATTGCACGCGCTGATTGGACGGTAATGTGGACTGAATAGGGGAGACTAACGAGAATTGGAAAGGTGGAGGATAAATTTTGACAAATGGTTGGTAATAAGATCCGGAACCGTGGTTAATGATTTTGTAGGAAGTTGCAAATTTACCGATCTGAAAAAAGAGACCAAAATTTATTAACTTATACGATTCAATTTTAATGAATACGAATAGATGTAAGAAAAAATACCTCTTTAGTAAATGAAAAAATGGTCAATGTTCCATTACCACTACTTGGGATACTACATTGCAACCGATACAACTTTTTACCGCCATCAACTATTCCGAGATAATTTATAAATGCTTCAATATTTTGTCCCTTCCATTCAAGAGACCCGCCCGGACGTCGTTCATTATCAGCGGAAAGCTGCTCGATCTCAAATTCTACCAAGTCACTCTCAACATCAATCACACATCCATGATATTTTGCCATGCTAAATCCACTGTTGAACCATTCTGGTTTGAAATATGGTAAACCAACAAATTCATCGTATCGGATTGGAGGATTTAAATATTGTTCACGACTATTTTCCGGGAAATGTGTGTATATAAGGTGCAATGGGGATGCCATAAAATAAAATGGGTTGAATTGCCGTTCGAATTGTTGATTGGAGACTATACCGGCACCCCAAGTGCAATCTATTAAAAAGTATTCTCCGTCTAGGCGACAAACATTCCATGCGTGTCCACCTGTGCCCTTTACATCATCTCCAGGCTGATAGCCAGCACCTTTCATGACGGAAGATAATGAAAAAATGTCATTAAAAAAAAAAGATAACTTTTGAACTACATATAAGAGTTATATTTTGTTAAGACCTTTTGCTTCTCCATTTACTTTCCACGTATCCAAATGAGCAGCCGAAGCCAATTCATGAAACAATTCACTGTATCCTGCACAAACGGCCCGCCGATGCTTCAATACATCCTTTGCTGAATTATAACGTGTACCCCCTTTGGAAAAATTAACGAAAGTCAAATAATAATTTTGTTAGCCAGAATGGACATCATTAATAAAAAAAAATCATATTATTACCTCTATAAAATGCATCACAATCATATGCAATGTTATGAGTAACCCATGCAAAAATACATCGTAATTTGTAAATGGGATGTGTCCATTCCGCAGTGAGATATTTAGATAATCGATCTATCGATTTTTCGACATCTTTCGGCGCGTTACGTGCATGATCATCGACAACTTCAAAGTCAACTTCTATTTAATCAGCTTGATATATAAGTTCACAAAATCCCAATTAAAATTAAATTTCAAAATACAAAAAAGACTTTACCTGATAAATCTAAAGGTGCCTCAAAGTTCTTATCATAAACGACTGTACATCGACTGACTTCAAAAATTATCTTTCAGTAATTAAATACACACGTTTGTTCATTAATCATCATCATACACACCTAACCGGATCAAATTTCTCCACTACTTTCTTTTTAATTCTGCTGTTATTACTATTCATATTTTTACCATTATTCCTAGTTGGAGGGTAGACGGTTTCTTCTACGTTATTATCGTCTTCATTTTTTTCAATAGAAGCCGAATTTTTTGTTTTTCGAAGAGACTGTAATTCACGAGCAAGAGCACCATTAATAACAATATCTCCATCAGAATAATCCTGATGAATAGTGGAATGGGTAGACTTTGTGGAACTAGTAGACCTTGTCGAAGATCTTCGTTGATGAAGTTTTATGCGTGGTGGTAATTTCGGGACCAGTTCTATTTCTTCCTGCTCTTCATAATAATTATCATCATTGGGTATTATTTCTACAAAACTACACGGGAATGATCCAAATGTATCAGTATCCGCGATAGTACCATTCCACCAGTCATCATTTTCTAAAATATTTGACAAATAGGATTATCTTAATATTCATTTTTTTTCCTTATCGCATAATAGATAAATAGCATGTACGTATGCTATGCACTCGCAGATACTTACCAATACCCAAAACTTCAATAATATCACCCACTTCAAAATTCAAGTCTAGAGGGTGATTACTTTTATAGTCCATTTTTGCTTTGACGACATGTTTTGGTTGCCAGAGCAGAAGACTTTCCCAGTTAGCTGTCGTCATTTTACAAATGAAATATAATATATAATAGACTTTGATAGTTTTACGTATTAATGGTGATGTCTTTGATAGTTACAGTAAAAGGTTAAATCTCTCAGTATCGGTATGAAAATGATGTTCCATCCGGAAATTTAAAATTTAATCTCAATGTTTTTTGTGCAAGATTTTGACGAATTTGGAAATTTGAATTATGTATTTCAATTTTAATATTTTAATAATTAAAAAAATAATATTAACATGTCGAGGCAGAAAATAAGAAAAATTATATTCCAAACAACCGATATGACTCATCCTCTCCCTAAATGAGGGAACATTTTGATATTCGAGAAGTGAATATACTTCGGAGGAACAAATGGTAAGGAACAGAATTCTTGATTATTTTATCATCACTGCACCTTAAAGAGAATTGCTTTCACTTTTTAATTAGTATCAAGATCCATGCTAATTATCTCGTCATCCGTTAACGAAGTTTCAGGACGTAATGTGGTCGTAGCAGATGAAGAAGGTTGTTTCGAATTTGATGATCTTTATATATTATTGTTGCTGCTTTTATGATTACCAATAATATCATTGTTAATTGTTCTATTCTTCTTTTCCCGCTTCTTATTATTAATTTCGGAATTTTTCCTTTGCTGTTCAATATTATTATTATTATTATTATTATTATTATTATAATTATTGTTAGTAGTAGTATTAGTAACGGTAACAGTAGTAGCAGTAGTATTGTTGGTGATGATGGTGGTGGTGGTGGTAGCAGTAGTATTAACAATATTATTATTTATACTTCCAGTACCTTTTGATAATATTTCATCCCGATTAACTTGGTCATCTTCAAATCTTACTTTTTTACATTTTCTCCTCTCCATCATATCCTCATATTCTTCATCAAAACTAAGATGACTAAAGTCACGAACAAGTTGACTTTGGCCGTTTCTGTTGTTGCTGTTACTGTTAATATGAGAAGAACTGGTTGTTTCTTTTTGAGACGGCTTTCCATAATCAATCACATACAATGGTCTTTTGCCTTTCTTCTTTTCGCTTTCAAAAGCTACTGGAATGCTATTATTAGGATTATTACTGCTGTTGATATTTTTATCGTCTTTATCATCATCAGAAGATATTTCAATTAATTCACCATCTTCGAAGCCTGATGAATTATTTTCATCATTTGCAAATCTTACAAGGATTCTTCTTTCGTCCTCTAAATCTAAACCAGGGATTTTATCCGTTTCTAATTCTAAGCCAGGAATTTTATTCGTCTCTAAATCTAAACCAGACATTTCCTCATCTTTTGGCCCTAGTCCTGGAATTTTATTCGTTTCTTCATCCTTTAGCAGCCCTAGCCCTGGAATGTCATCATTGTCCGAATTATGATCCTCTAAAGAAAGATTATTCATTTCTAAGAATGATAACGAAGAAGACGATGGATCATTAGTAATAGATCTTCTGGACTTAGCATTCTTGTTCGCTTCTTTGTCTTGTGACACGATTGAATCATTTTTTCGCTGAGACTCAGTATTACTCATAAGAGACTTGGACGATAGAGGCAATTCAGAGTCTTGTCTTTCATAATGGTGCTCATTATTTGATTTTTTTAATTCCGCTATAATTTGAATTATTTTATCAGAAAGTTCCTGAGGCATTCCTTCATAAACTAAAGTACCATCAATTAATGCTAATTCAAGCTTGCTTAGCATGCTTTTCATAACTTCATGGGTTTTCCCGCCCTTACTTAATAATGGAAAATATGAAGGAAAAGATGCTGCAGTATGTGTTCGCTCGGAATTCATATTAAGAGGCGGTGGTTTATTCTCGACTGGAACTGGAGTCCCAGAACACGGACAAAATGTCACTCCCCGAAAATTAAAATGGACTGGCGTGGCGGTGCTGTCCATTTTAAAAAGTCTTCGATCGAGTTGCGTGCGCAGAACAATCGTTATCTTATTTCAACATCACTTGATTAGCAGAATCATAAATATTAAATTCATAAACATTGTGAGACATTGAAATTTCTCTAAATTAAAAAATTTTCCAAAATAAGGGATAACATATTTTTTGTTGAAAACTATGTATAAAAATCATTTAAATCGAATATAATTTCATAGTTTGGTTAGACAATGTCTTAATTCTGGCCAATTAATTTACTAAATTATTTTTATAATAAAATTAATTAAGATCAAAACCTAATTTAGCTTGACCTTCAATTAATTACTGAAAGTTAAGTTCGTACCCTTATTTTAGTTGTTTATATTTCTTGTTCGGCAGAATGTGGTAAGTAATATAGTAATAAATGAGTACTAACATCTTTTGCTAAACAGTAGTTTATTTTATAGGAAGTATACCAAGAGTCATCTTACGGTTTACTTCGTTTAGCTCGTTCTACTTGTTTTATCTTCTGTAAAAGGGCAAATGGCCGAGTACATGATGAACAGCATTATAGAATGGGACAAGAAATCTAACTTTACACCAGTAATACAGCATTAATACATCCGTCGTTTTCTGGATTATTTGTGACTATATATGCATTTAAAAAAATAGACAATTAATATTGACGCGAAACTTTCCGTTAAAAAACCCTAAATAATAATTTGTTGAAAAATCATACCTTGAGCATATTTACCCCACACAACTTTACCCGATGTAGTAACCAATCCAAGCTCTGATACATTAACCTAGAATAAAACGATTAAAATATTGACAAATTCATAACAAGAATAGTTGGATGAAAAACTCTATGAAATATCTTACCTCTATTACGGTTCCTTTAGTAATCACACCTAAGGAAGTATATAACGGGCTTTGTGGATTCTTCTTAACGCTAATAATAGGTAAACAAAACGTAGCAGCCAATTCTGGATGAGTCACGTGTGCTTTTTTGTATCGCAATGCCATAGGTCGAATAAACCTTTCGTATTTGGGGGGTTTTCGGGTGAAGCCATCACCAACAAATGTTGCTTTTGTAATCATGCGTTTCCATTGCTTGGCTAATTTTAAAAAATCCAATTAATCCACGAATTCATTATTTTTCACAACATTCCTACTTACTTCGATTTTTTCCAGTTTTTACTACTTTGAAAATTTCTTCTTCTGCAATCCCCCGAACTTTAGGAAGTGGAACAGTCCATTTACCCGCTTTTTCTTTACGCTTTTGTTTCACCATATTAGACAATATTTTTGCTCGTTTTTCCCCTTCACGATCCAGTAAATATGCTGGAACGGCGCCATCTGGAATTGCTTGCGTGTCTTTTTGTTTCGCTGATTTCTCTTGTTTTTGTTTAATACTAATTAAAAAGCCATAGTTGAAAAATTAGATCAATTTGAGAGGGAAAACGAATTTTTAGTTCTAAATTAATAAGAAATCACAGCAAGTATTGTTCTAGAAATAGTACACACGTTTTCTTCATTTGGATCTTTTGCGCGTAACGTTTCTTGTTGTATAGTTTTGCGCGCAAGCCATGAACTTTCTGCGCAAAAGCAGAAGTTGTATGCGGTTCACGCGCAAGTCGTTTTCGCCTTTATTAAGAAATATGTTATTAAACTTAGCAAAATCTGATAACAAAGTATCTAACTATCGACCATTAAGAATGCTATAATAATATTACTTGCGTTCTTCATAATCAAACCGTCGCCCATGTTTTTTAATTGACTCTTCAATATATTCGTTTTGAGGCTGTAGAAAAAAGTTTTAGTTCTACCTTTCACTTGAACATCAACTTTAAATTCAAATTTTTTTTTACCATTTGGGTTTCGAGACGAAAAACAAAAAAATTAATTCACGTGATAATAGATATTTATGCTCTGTCTAATTTATCAGTCAAATTAAAAATTAAGTAATAAAAAATTTTGCATTATAAATCTAGAATTATTCATTGGTTGTTATACTAAAGTCTAAATTTTCTAATCAAAAATAAAAAATATAAAAATGTGATTTAATCATACGTCGCTTACACAAAAAATTTTATCTCGGTCTCGTTCACTGTATTTTCTGTGTATTTATTATCCTTCGTAATGAGCTGGAACCCACCTATTCCATATGGTCAATCAAGAACGATTTACGGGGTGTGCACTGTTTTTTATTGGATTTCCATTAATTCCTATAGAAACGATTTCTAATTTGTCTTTTGATCAGCCCCCTCAACAAAGACCTGGTCTTCCCTCGGTTCCTCCGTATGCTGGTCGACCTCCAACTCAACCTTATGGAACTAATCAAATACCTCCTTATATACCGCCTCCACAATCTGTACGCTCAGATTTTTTTTAAATTTTGTCACTTTGATGCCAGTAACTCAAAATTTTTTCTTCTTTATTTTAATAGCCAGCGTCTATTTGGACAGAACACACTTCACCCGATGGTCGTACATATTATTACAATACAATAACAAAGCAGAGTTCTTGGGATAAACCTGACGAATTAAAAACCCCAGAAGAGGTATTATTTTTATCTGCTTAATTCCAAAGTAACATTACATGATCATAAGAATGTATTTTATTTTTCAAGCGCGCATTGGGATCTTGCCCTTGGAAAGAATATACAGCCGAGGATGGTCGTAAATATTATCACAATTCTGTCTCACGTCAGTCCACATGGGATATGCCTACCGAATATAAAGGTTAGTAATAGCATCATAAAAATTGTATCTTCAATTTTATGGTTGTGCGTAAAAATATTAATCTATATATTTATTACAAATTAGAGTTTCTTGAAAGGCTTGAGCTTGAAAAGAAGACCCAATCGTAAGTTAAATTTGTTCATGTGTAATCAGTTGGGTAATTTTTTTAAGAAATGAATAACTTGTAGGAATCAAGAAGGATCGGCTCCTGGTAGTGCACCATTAGCTTCCCCAAGTCAACAAGATTTAGAAAAAGCTCGTCAATTAAGTGTTCCTTCTGTTGGACAAGTTAACGTTACCCCAGTGAATACACCAATTAGACCCTCAGGGGTTGCCACACCAATTGGTGGTGTAAATATACCAATTATACAACCTCGTCACCCAGAGGTCAAAATTGAATTTGAATCAAAAGAAGAAGCTGAAGCAGCATTCAAACAGTTGCTCAAAGATTCTGTACGAATTTTTTTTTTATTTAACTTTATTTATTGATCCTTGTAAATAATGTAATCTTTTTATAATTTACATTCAAGGGTGTGAAAGCGGATTGGAGTTGGGAACAAACTATGAGAGCAATAATAACCAAACCTATGTATCGGGCTCTTAAAACTTTGATTGAACGCAAACAAGCGTATCAAGATTACATCGATGAATTGAGAAGAGTTGAAGAAGTATGCAAATTTGTTTATCTATTTTATGAAAGTCTTCCAGAATTAATCAATAAGAATCTGATTCATAGGAAGAAAGGAGGAGTCGAATTACCAAAATGCGACAAGATTTTATTACAATGCTTGAATCTCGTCCCGAAGTAAACTCTTCCACACGTTATAGGTAATTTATTATATACGAAATATATGATCGTTTTATTATCTGTTTAAATATATGTTTATATTCTATTTGGATTACAGAAAAATTTGTGATTTATTTGGAGATCACCCTGCATTCCTTGCCATCGAAGATGATAGACAACGAGAAGAAATATTCGGGGAATATATATATGAAATGCGCAAACAAGAAAAAGTACGAGGACATTTATAGCTTGTGATATTTATGATAAATAATTTTTTCTCAATATACAACTGTTTGTTTAATATTCACTTTTAGGAAGCTGCACGTCTTATGCGTAAAGAGAATATGGATAAGTTCTCAAAACTTCTTAAATCTCTTCCGAATATTACTATTCGAACTTTATGGAAAGATGCTCAAACTATATATAAGAATACACCCGAATATCAAAACGATCCTCAGCTACAAAAAATGGATATGCTGGATTTCTTAGCTGTCTTTGAAGAATACATGAGATTTCTAGAAGAGCAGGATGTAGCTCGTCAAAAGCGTGCAGCTGAAGCTAAAAGACGTCAGGAACGTAAGAATCGAGACGCTTTCCGTGCATTAATGGAAGAACTACGTCAAAAAGGAATTATTACTGCTAAATCGAGATGGATGGAAATATACCCAATAATTGCGGCCGACGAAAGATACACAAATATTCTTGGTCAACCAGGCTCCACGCCACTTGAATTGTTCTGGGATGTGGTTGAGGAACTTGACGAGATATTATATCAACAGCGCAAAATAGTGATGGATTTTGTGAAAGTAAGCTAAACATAGCTTATTTGCTTAAATCGGTCATTAAAGAATCATCGGAATTTTTTTTATTTTTAGTCGAGAAACATTTCAGTTCATCCTAGCATGACGTTTGATCAGTTCAAATCTACTGTCAGTTCAGATGAACGTTGCGCAATAGTAGGAGATATTAATTTGAAAATAATTTTTGAACAGGTAATTTATCTGGATTGAAGATTGTTAATAGTGATATTTTATCATCACTGAAATTTTGATAACCTCCATGTAGCTGCAGAAAAAACAAGAGAAAAAGCAACGTAGAAAAATGGATGCATTCAAATCAATTTTAAAACATTTTGAGTCGATGATTACTCCAGAGGCTACCTGGGAGCAGGTGCGAAAATCATGTCGTTATTAGTTACACATTGCATATTATGCATCAAGAAATTGCTTTTTAGCAGCAAGCACTTCCCAAGGCTACAACAAGAGCTTTAATAATAATCTCTGGTTTGATTTTATATTGATGATTATTGAACACGGCTGGATTTTCTCTTCCGCTCTATACATGGTTTGTTTTTCCTTTTGTTTATTGCTGATTGCACAAATAGGTTCGGCCTGTGCTTGAGAAAACTGAAGAGTTCCATGCGATTGATAGTGAAAAAATTCGCATAGAAGTTTTTGATCGATTCATGGATCGTTTAAAGGTAAGGGAAGAATTCAAGTCATAAAGTCTCAGCTTTTTACTTTTACATATACCCATATATTTATATACTTTGAATGAAAAATTTTTTATTTTAGGAAAAACGAATGAAAAGAGACCAAGGCGATAGCGAAGAAGACATTCTAAAGGAAGAAGATTATGACGATGATAGACATTCCCCGGAACGTAAACGAAAACATAAAAGCCATAAGTATCATCGTCGAACTCAACAATATTCAGATAATTCTGCGGATAGCATGGATTATTCTGATAAAGAAAGAGACGGAAGCGAAAAGAGAAAACGCAGAAAGGTAAGTAATAATCATTTTTTGCTATCGCATTTTAATTCAGAAATTGAATATATGAATCTTCTGAAAATAGAAATCTAAATATGATGATCATCGTTATGACGAGCCTCGTTATACCGATCCGCGGTACTTGGATCATCAAAGATACGCGGATCAAAGACATATAATAGATACAAAATATTCTAATGATTATCCACCACCAACTCTCGATGATTATAAATTACAAGCATTGAAAATTGAAGAATATAAAATGGAAGCTCTTCGGCAGCAAGAAATTGCCCGGCTTGAAGCTGCACAAGTTGCACAACGGCACCGAATAGAAACATCACAAATCGAATCTCTTTCGATCTCCGATGTACCAAAATCAGCAGAGTACGAAAATGATCATGTGCAGCAACCAACGAAACATGAAGATTCGAGCGAGGAAGAAGGCGAGTATGTCGAATAATAATAAATATGGTTAATTTTTTTGTTGTTTATAATTATCTATTGTTATCATAAAATTATATATGTGCAAATTTTGCATATTTATTATGGTTTTTTGTATATGGCTTGTGTGAGAGAGGAGAAAATATATAGGTGAGGCGTTTTCTTAGTGTTAGTTTTGCTATTATACATTGTTAATGTCTGTCAAAATATAGACTTTTAAAGCTAATAAAAAATAGAAGTTATGAATTTATTATGTTTTACGATGTAAAACAGCTTTATGCGTATCGGTATGTATTTGATCATTTTCGAAAAATATAAAATATAATTAGATGATTCATCCTACATATAAAGGTGTTGTAAAAGTATCACATATTTTTAAGGAGTAAATTAATCAAAATGCAAAATATAATATTAACAAGAGTTAATTTATCATTGAAAATAAAGTTATATTTACTATTTATTAATCATTTATTAAAATTATATAATAAAAAATTTATTAAAGAATTCTTAGTTATAGTATCATTAATTATAGTATTTCTTCATTAAAAAAAGAATATGAATAGTCTATAAGTACTAGTCTTATTATCTAATTTAAATTTACTATTCACAATCATTACAGATATTTCTAATAATATTTAAAATATTTTTTTTTAAAAAAAATAATATTATTTTAGTTTTTTTAGTAAAGTAATGCTTCATTTATTATTAAATTAAAATATAATAGAATAATTAAAATAGTATAAAAAGTTAATTTAAATTATTCTTTATTTAATATAAAAAAAATTATAAAGATTAATTAAAATTTAAATGATTTTTATTAGAAGTAATTATTAATTTTATATTGATATACCAATCTTTTTGTATTAGCCCATATAATATAATAATAAAAAATATGAAAATATCTTTAATAATAAATATTAATAATATAATATTATATAAATTCTAAATTAAATTAAATAAATATTAATAAATTATCAAATATTTTAATAATTAATATTAATAGTAAGAAGAAAATATTATTTAAAATAATTAATAACTTATTAATTAAAATATAAAAAAACTATTTTAGTTAATATTATAATAATTAAGATAATATTTTATTATTTTATAGTTAAAAATAACTAACTTTTTAAAACTAAAATAAGATTAAATTTTAGAAATTTAATTATATATCTAGATTAATATGATAAGTAATTTAATATATTAATTAAATATATTAATTAGCTATATAAAAAAAAATGAAAGAAAAATTTATAAAAAATAATAAAAAAGAAATTGAAGAAGAAATTAACAAAGATAATAATAAATATAAAGAAGAAGAATATAGTTAAATCTTTTTATAGTTATATTTTTTTATAGTTATTTTTTTTATAATCATCTTTTTTGAGTTTTTTAGTTATTAATTAATTATAATTAAAAAATTATTCTATAATTATATCTTTTTTTAGTTATTTAATTTTGCTCTTTTAAGTATAATAATTATAAAGAGATCTATAGTAGCGGTCAAAAGTATCTGACCCCTTATAACTTTTTATACTAAAAGTTTTTTGGTTTAAACTTTTTAAAATAATTAAAATTACTGTATTAAAATTTATATATTTATATTACATGTAATAATAAAAATTTAATATATTTAATAAACTAGTTATTGAAAATTAAATTTTAAATTTTGGTATTAAATTATTTTTTTTATATATATATATAATAAAATTTAATAAATTTAAA